CCTGCCACACCACTCCCACCCATCACCGCCTCGTGCGCTACTCGAAGGACGCCTCCAATGGTATCCTGCCAGCGCCTTCAATTCCCACCCACCCAGTCAACTCGCCCCCCCCTCACCCCCCCCCCCCCCCCTTCCTAACCTCTGAACTCACCCTGTCGGAGACGAGTGCGAGAGCCGTATTTTGTGCCCGCGAGCTAAGGGCCGTTGCCCGAAACGTCGCGTCTCATACATATGTTGTTTCATTTTAAGGCAAGCAAAGACAAAGACCCCCCCCCCCCCCGTATAGCCTTACAAGATGGTTTGGGGGCAAGTGCTGTGAGCGAGCATCCACGAAGGCCGGCACGGCACACGAGGGGGTGGGTGGCCAGCACCACGCCCGACCGCCTTTGTCTCCCCAGTGGCGATGTTTACTACACACCGCACCAGGTACTCTATTTGAGGCTGAGTCGACCTAGGGGAGGCCCATCGCTATGTCGCCATCAAGTTGCAGACACAATTGGCGATTTTCAACCGTGCGTTTTTAGTGTCTCTTTAAATTTGCTACAGATATTCAAAGTGTAATAAATTAGAATGTATTCCTTTTTCTTAAGTTAACATATATATACATTTCTCCCATGTGCGACAAAAAAAACAATATTGTTATATTTATAAAACAGACAATCCCATGCATGGAAGGCGGAAGTTAAAAGTCCACACGGATGGGTCATTGAACCTGCTTCCTGTACTGACTCTCCGAGTGATCCATCAACCCCCAACTTTGCTCGGGTCATCTATATATGTATGCTTAAAATACCAACTTCCGTTATGTTAATGTAACACACAAAACGTAAAAGCAACATACGTTAAAAACCGACTCATTGCCACGTATCCTTAAATATCGCGGGGGTAGCGAGCGCCTATTTAGGCTGACAACACTGCGATTACAGTGGGTTACAGTGCGCCTTTTTTTATTTAGGACTGAGTCAACCTACGGGAGGCTCACTACTTCTAACATCGCTCTCCAATGATGTTCGCTTTGCGGTATAAGGGGATCGAAAACCGAACTCAGTTCATCCTGGTTCGTAGTGCAGTGTGCTAATCACTGCGCCACCACTCCGCCTTGCAATGCATGACGCACAAACACACACAAACACACACAAAAACACACACACAAACACACCCACAAACGCACACAAAAACACACACACAAACACAAACACACCCACAAACGCACACACACACAAACACACACAAACACACACACAAACACACAAACACACACAAACACACACAAACACACGCACAAACACACACACAAACACACACACAAACACACCCACAAACGCACACACACACAAACACACACACAAACACACACACAAACACACACAAATACACACAAACACATACACACAAACACACACAAAGACGCACACAAATACACACACACACAAACAAACACACACACAAACAAACACACACACAAACACACACACAAACAAACACACACAAACACACACACAAACACACACACACAAACACACACACAAACACACACACAAACACACACAAAGACACACACACACAAACACGATCACACACAAACGCGATCACAAGCGAGCGCGCAAGAGACGCCGCTCTGTTCAACTCGCGGGCGTGAAGTCGAATTTCAAGTCACCAAAAACCATTTTCGTAAAAATACAAAACGAAAAAAGTGGCTTCGCGTATCGCTCACAAACGAACCCAGCAGCAGCAGTAGCAGCAGCAGCAACACTCGCCGTGTAACAACTCACGAACCCGGCGTGTCAGGCACTCGACAACTCAGCTACATGCCAGACTTTAAAGTGCAGCGGTACAAGATTGTTTTTTTTTAAAGAAAAAAAATAAACCCGAAAGGTATCCCAGAAGACGAACTCGTCACCTTCTGCTGTCCTGATCACTTCTTATGGTGTCAATCTCACTTCATATGGTGTTCATCTCACTTCTCTTGCTGTCCTGCTCACTTCTCCTGCTGTCCTGCTCACTTCTCTTGCTGTCCTGCTCACTTCTCTTGCTGTCCTGCTCACTTCTGCTCACTTCTCTTGCTGTCCTGCTCACTTCTCTTGCTGTCCTGCTCACTTCTGCTCACTTCTCCTGCTGTCCTGCTCACTTATCCTGCTGTCCTGCTCACTTCTGCTCACTTCTCTTGCTGTCCTGCTCACTTCTCTTGCTGTCCTGCTCACTTCTCCTGCTGTCCTGCTCACTTCTACTCACTTCTCCTGCTGTCCTGCTCACTTCTCTTGCTGTCCTGCTCACTTCTGCTCACTTCTCTTGCTGTCCTGCTCACTTCTCTTGCTGTCCTGCTCACTTCTGCTCACTTCTCCTGCTGTCTTGCTCACTTCTCCTGCTGTCCTGCTCACTTCTGCTCACTTCTCTTGCTGTCCTGCTCACTTCTCTTGCTGTCCTGCTCACTTCTCTTGCTTTCCTGCTCACTTCTCCTGCTGTCCTGCTCACTTCTACTCACTTCTCCTGCTGTCCTGCTCACTTCTCTTGCTGTCCTGCTCACTTCTCCTGCTGTCCTGCTCACTTCTCTTGCTGTCCTGCTCACTTCTGCTCACTTCTCCTGCTGTCCTGCTCACTTCTCTTGCTGTCCTGCTCACTTCTGCTCACTTCTTCTGCTCTCCTGCTCACTTCTCTTGCTGTCCTGCTCACTTCTCCTGCTGTCCTGCTCACACCTTCCCTGCGGTGTTCATCCCGAGCACCGGCGGGGGGTCACCGACCTCAATCACAAACTGCGACTGCGAGAATCTTCAAGTTTCACGTTGCGGCAGTGAGCGCCACACGATAAAAAATGAAACTGATATAAATTAACAAAAGGCGTCCCTGTGTTGTTGTTGTTGTTGTATTCGTGCTGTGCCAGTCCGCTCTTGAATTGAAGCTGTTTTATGTACGCAAAAATAATATAAATACAGCTGGGTAACTCCGCCAGAAATGTGTCTCCGCATATCCCAAGCCAGGCTTACAGGAGAAGGTTGAGCATCTGGTGGCCGTGAAACCCTGAAGCAAAAACATGAACAGACCTTGCAAACCAATGGTCCCTAAGTGCACCGCGGTTCCTTCGGTGGGGACAGGGGAGCCAGGAGTGTCGGGGCCCGATGACTCTGCCGCTGTAGGGACTGCAGATCCGGGCGGTGGGTGGGTAGGTAGGTAAGTATGTAGGTGGGTAGGTATGTAGGTGGGTGGGTAGGTAGGTGGGTAGGTAGGTGGGTAGTTATGTAGGTGGGTAGGTAGGTAGGTGGGTAGGTAGGTGGGTAGGTGGGTAGGTAGGTGGGTAGGTATGTAGGTGGGTAGGTGGGTAGGTAGCTGGGTACGTAAGTAGGTGGATAGGTAGGTAGGTGGGTAGGTAGTTAGGTGGGTAGGTAGGTGGGTAGGTGGGTAGGTAGGTGGGTAGGTGGGTAGGTGGGTAGGTAAGTAGGTGGGTAGGTAGGTGGGTAGGTATGTAGGTGGGTAGGTAGGTGGGTAGGTGGGTAGGTAGGTGGGTAGGTGGGTAGGTGGGTAGGTGGGTAGGTATGTAGGTGGGTAGGTAGGTAGGTGGGTAGGTAGGTGGGTAGGTAGGTAGATGGGTAGGTAGTTAGGTGGGTAGGTAGGTAGATAGGTGGGTAGGTAAATAGGTGGATAGGTAGGTAGGTGGGTAGGTAGTTAGGTAGGTAGGTGGGTAGGTAGGTGGGTAGGTAGGTAGGTGGGTAGGTAGTTAGGTGGGTAGGTAGGTAGATAGGTGGGTAGGTAAGTAGGTGGATAGGTAGGTGGGTAGGTAGTTAGGTAGGTAGGTGGGTAGGTAGGTAGGTGGGTAGGTGGGTAGGTAGGTAGGTGGGTAGGTAGTTAGGTGGGTAGGTAGGTGGGTAGGTAGGTAGGTGGGTAGGTAGGTAGGTGGGTAGGTAGTTAGGTGTGTAGTTAGGTGTGTAGGTAGGTGGGTAGGTCGTCTGCACATATCAAGGTGGAGAAACGTAAAGAGCGGCGATTATGGTGCGACCGGACGCAGTGGCCCTTGGAGCGGCAGGAGAGACGGCGCACGACGGGGCAGCGTGGAGGCGGTTGGCAAGGACGGCGGTTGCGGTGTTGGCATTGGCGTTGGTGGCAGTGGCGGCGGTGGTGGCGGTGGTGGCCGCGGTGACATTGATTTTGCCTTCGGTGTTTTAAATCCATAACCGCAGAATTTGCTCTCAATCAATGCCGGAAGCAAGGCGGAATGCCCCGGACCAAACACCCAGCGTGCGTTCCGGAGGTGACAAACTCATTTCTTTTCGAACTGCTGTGTTCAGCTTGTTATCCTCGCCCCAACGCACCTCCGATCAGCACCGTTGGCTACGCGCGGCCTGAAATAAGTTCAAAGGGCATGCGGTGCATGCAGTACGTACACGGAGGGCCTCAAAAACCCGGTCGCAAGGACCGCTCGACCGGCGCCGCTCTAACTCGCCGGGAAGTTTCGAGCGCCCGATCTCCACGCGACCCGTCAACCCCTCGCTGCAATCGCCTTGAAGGAACCCGCTGCTGGCGGTCGTGGCTTCAATCTTGCTCGCGGGGTTCTGAGAGGTTTCAACGTCTTGCCCACGGGGACCCGGGGGTGTAGTCTGGTGGTGGGGGGGGGGGGGGAGTCACAGCCCAGGGCAACGTTCACCCACGCTTCATGAGTGCCCATAGACACTCACGTTTGGGTGCGCGGTGGCGCTGTAAATCATCATCAATCACTGGCGATCATCATCATCATCATCACCGTCATCATCACCGTCAAAATGCGTCCTTCGTGGTCGATGCAAAAAAAGAAAAAAGAAAGTTCCTAACTTTTGCAGGAAACGTCAATAGCGAGTCCACAGCAGGTCACCAACTCCATCGCCAACCACCCCCCGCCCCCCCACCATAGGCACGTGGAATTTGCACTCGGCGTCTCCCGCGACTATGGCTAAGCCGCCGCTCCCCCGTTTCTCCTCCCCGCGGCCTTTTCCCTCCCCCCACCCCCCTCCGCAACCCTTGGCCCGCGCGCCACCTCAGTCCATGGGGTAATCCGGCGGGATGAGGTCCTTGATGCTGTTGATGGTCGACATCTCGAGCGACGCCCCGCCGATGGTGGACAGCGACGAGCCGCTGCGGTCCCACGAAGCGCCGTCGTGCCCCGCCCGCGGCAAGCCCGTCGCCGGCTCGTCGAAGCGCGAGATGGTGGGCAGGTCGTCCATGCCGACCGCCGCGCCTCCGGCCGCCGCCGCCGCCGCCGCCGCCGCCGCCGCCGAGGTCCCGTGCCACCGCCCGGGCTCCCAGTTGCCGGTGTGCGAGCGCTGCGTGACGACGACGCCGTCGAGCAGCCCGCCCGGCCGCGCCAGCGAGCCGTTGCGGTGCGGCGCGCCGTACGGGGTGATGTAGCGCGGCCCCGCCGGGCCCTCGCGGGAGGGCGCGGCGCCGTTGTGACGTCGCGATGACGCGGCGGCGGCGGCGGCGGCGGAGGCGGTGGAGGCGGGGGCGGCGCCGCCGTTGTGACGTCGCGATGACGCGGCGGCGGCGGCGGCGGCGGAGGCGGTGGAGGCGGGGGCGGCGGCGCCGCCGTTGTGACGTCGCGATGACGCGGAGGCGGCGGAGGAGGCGGGGTAGGGCCCGCCGTTGACGCGGTGCTGCGCGTGGGTGGTGCTGCGGGTGTGCCGCGACGATTGGCTCGTCGTGGTCATCAAGGCGCCGTGGGACGGCCTGCCGGGTTTTGGGGGGGCGACAGGACGGGCTGCTCGGAGCGAGTCGCGCGTGCGCGGACGTTCGTGGTGGTGGTGGGGGGTGGGGTTTATTGTAAAGATGTGGCGAGGTTTTTGCTCTGCTGTTGATCCTTGGCTTTTAATTTTACGTGTTTGGAAAGAATGTTTTTTTTTATATATATAGGTGAAAAGTTTCGCTTTGCTGTTGATCTGTTTTTTTATCTTTTATGATGTGTTAATCATTATTTAGATTTTCTCATATTTACTTTTTTACGAGGATTGTTTTTTTTATTGGCGACACGTTTCGATTTGCTGATTATCCGTGTTAACAAATAAATTTATTCAAAATGTTTCATACAAAACAATTATGGGCCACAAGGTGCACTTCACCGTTGACCCGTGTTTTTCAATTTTGATTGTTTTTTTTATATTTTACAAAGTTTTTACAACGTTGGCGGTTTTGTTTTTTTGGCTGTTCATCCGTGGGTGGAATTAAGTTAACGTAGAATAAGTCACGGTGGTTGAAGCGATAGAAGATAGATACGGAGGCGATGGACCGCCGCCGGTGAGCAGAGTGACTGTGGAGGATTGATGCAAGGAAGTCAATCAAGTGTTTGCGAAAATAACACCCACTATATATAAAAACAAAACCCACTATAAAGAAACAATATCAACTATATATTATGCTCACTGGGAAGACAAAGACGGCCGGGAGTGGTGTTGGCCACCCAGCCCATCGTGTGCCGTTCTGGCATGCATAGGTGCTACTTGCTAACAGCACTTGCCCCAACAGCCTGTTGAAGGCTATACAGGGGACCTTTATATGTGTGTGTGTCTGTGTGTGTCTGTGTGTGTCTGTGTGTCTGTGTGTGTGTCTGTCTGCGTGTCTGTCTGTGTGTATCTGTGTGTGTTTCTGTGTGGGTGTCTGTGTGTCTCTGTCTGTCTGTGTGTCTGTGTGGGTGTGTCTCTGTGTGTGTGTCTGTGTGTGTCTGTGTGTGTGCGTGTCTGTGTGTGTGTTTGTGTGTATCTGTGTGTGTGTGTCTGTGTGTGTCTGTGTGTGTCTGTGTATGTCTGTGTGTGTATACATCTGTGTCTGTGTGTGTTTTCTGTCTGCGTGTCTGTCTGTGTGTATCTGTGTGTATGTCTGTGTGGGTGTGTCTGTGTCTGTCTGTGTGTATCTGTGTGTCTGTCTGTGTGTCTGTGTGTATCAGTGTGTTTGTGTGTATCTGTGTGTCTGTGTGTATATCTGTCTATGTGTGTGTGTGTCTGTGTGTGTAAATCTCCTACTTGTGGAACTTCACGACGAGGGCGAGGATGATGGCGAGGATGACGATGATGCCGAATACTATTGCTGCCGTGATGGCTCCCGCACCTGCATCACATCAATATCATCATCAGCATCGTCATCATCATCAATAGAAATATAATGAATATTATCATCATCATTATCATCATCAATGTCATCAACATCATTATCATCATTCACATCGTCATCATAAAAAGCAACATCATTATCATCAATAATATCGTTATCATAAAAAGCAACATCATTAATATCATTATCAACATCATCGTCATCAATTCATCATCAGCACCATCACGTCGCATTGTCCAATCATTATTAGCAACATCATCATCATCATCACAACCATTATCACCATCAGCACTGCTGAACTTCTCCAAGTGCCAGTTAAGAAGGGCCATTGGCCGAGACGTCCCTGAATCCGCGTTTTATTTTCAAGGCCACAGTGTGATTGAAGAATGTTTTGAGGTTTATTATGAAAAATACGTAATCAAAATCGTCATCGTCATCATCATCATCATCCCATCAAAATCAATAAGTCAACAATGGTGATTGGTCCGATGAAATTAACGGTCATCTTCCACAGGAGTGTGGAATTTCCGCGGAATTCCCGCCCTCGCTCAGGACCTGGCAATTAAGAAGAGATGAGAAATCACCCCAAGGCTGTTTGAGCAAAGGTGGCCCTTCATCTGTTGTGTCAGTCACGCAGGAACGTTCCACTCAAGCGAGTTGGATATCCGTGTAAATAAATATTCTGGCTCCGATCCTGAATTGAATAACGCGGTGCTGGCGAAATGTTAACTACCTCGCCTGGTGTGCAGGAGGTCGTTGGTTCGATCCCGACCCTGACGCCTGCTGCTGTATATTTGGAGTTTGCGTGTCTCTCTCTCTCATCATCACTGTGGCTAGGAGATGTTCACTACCTCGCCTGGTATGCAGGTGGTCGTGGGTTCGATCCCGACCCTGACGCCTGCTGCTGTTTATTTGGAGTTTGCGTCTCTCTCTCTCTCATCATCATCATCACGGTGGCTAGGAGATGTCAACTACCTCGCCTGGTATGCAGGAGGTCGTGGGTTCGATCCCGACCCTGACGACTGATATATGAGTTTGCGTCTCTCTCTCTCATCATCACGGTGGCTAGGAGATGTTAACTACCTCGCCTGGTATGCAGGAGGTCGTGGGTTCGATCTCGACCCTGACGCCTGCTGCTGTATATTTGGAGTTTGCATATCTCTCTCTCATCATCATCATCATCACGGTGGCTAGGAGATGTCAACTACCTCGCCTGGTATGCAGGAGGTCGTGGGTTCGATCCCGACCCTGACGCCTGATATATGAGTTTGCGTCTCTCTCTCTCATCATCACGGTGGCTAGGAGATGTTAACTACCTCGCCTGGTATGCAGGAGGTCGTGGGTTCGATCCCGACCCTGACGCCTGCTGCTGTATATTTGGAGTTTGCACACATCTAGCTCCCTGTGGTCGCGTGGATTTTTTTTCATCCGGGTCCTCCGGTGTTTCCTTCCACATGTAGAATCAAGGTCAGGCATTTCGAGTATTTGGCTGCTCTACATTTCCACACGTGATGCTGAGCCGTCACTTCGCTGCCCTGCCATTTGTGATAACCAGGTCGCTTCTGGAAAAAAATAAAGAGCTACATCGCACCGGTGGGACCTCTACCTGCTTAAAAAACTAAGAAAAAACGTTGAATATTCTTTGGTTCTTTCGGTAAAGTCACGTAGAATGAGAATAAAATAATAAATTGAAAAAATAAAATAACACAATAATATTCTCACTCGTTGAATAGTTAATAATTAATCGCGTGTTATTGGATAGTTCAGACACAGGGATTGCAGAGCTCGGGGGGGGGGGTGGGGGAGATGGCGTGACGGACGACGTCGGTTGTGCCCGTAATCCAGCAGTGGATAGATGATGGCTGATGATGATTCTGATGACGAAATGGCCCCACCGCCCCCCCCCTCGCCCCCACCCCGCTACCACCACTACCCCCACTACCCCCACTATCATACTCCAAACGTTTCATCAAGGAGCCATAAGCCACCATCACACCAACCCAGCTCATCTTCGTAGCAGCAGCAGCGGCAGCAGCAGCAGCAGCGGCAGCAGCAGTAGTTGTAGCAGCAGCAGCAGCAGTAGTTGTAGCAGCAGCAGCAGGAGCAGCAGTAGTAGCAGGAGCAGCAGTAGTTGTAGCAGCAGCAGCAGCAGGAGCAGCAGTAGTAGCAGGAGCAGCAGTAGTAGCAGGAGCAGCAGTAGTTGTAGCAGCAGCAGCAGCAGGAGCAGCAGTAGTAGCAGGAGCAGCAGTAGTTGTAGCAGCAGCAGCAGCAGGAGCAGCAGTAGTAGCAGGAGCAGCAGTAGTTGTAGCAGCAGCAGCAGCAGCAGGAGCAGCAGTAGTAGCAGGAGCAGCAGTAGTTGTAGCAGCAGCAGCAGCAGCAGGAGCAGCAGTAGTAGCAGGAGCAGCAGTAGCAGCAGGAGCAGCAGGAGCAGCAGTAGTAGCAGGAGCAGCAGTAGTTGTAGCAGCAGCAGCAGCAGGAGCAGCAGTAGTAGCAGGAGCAGCAGTAGTTGTAGCATCAGCAGCAGCAGCAGGAGCAGCAGTAGTAGCAGGAGCAGCAGTAGTTGTAGCAGCAGCAGCAGCAGGAGCAGCAGTAGTAGCAGGAGCAGCAGTAGTTGTAGCAGCAGCAACAGCAGCGGCGGCAGCAGTAGTAGCAGGAGCAGCAGTAGTTGTAGCATCAGCAGCAGCAGCAGGAGCAGCAGTAGTAGCAGGAGCAGCAGTAGTTGTAGCAGCAGCAGCAGGAGCAGCAGTAGTAGCAGGAGCAGCAGTAGTTGTAGCAGCAGCAGCAGCAGGAGCAGCAGTAGTAGCAGGAGCAGCAGTAGTTGTAGCATCAGCAGCAGCAGCAGGAGCAGCAGTAGTAGCAGGAGCAGCAGTAGTTGTAGCATCAGCAGCAGCAGCAGGAGCAGCAGTAGTAGCAGGAGCAGCAGTAGCAGCAGGAGCAGCAGGAGCAGCAGTAGTAGCAGGAGCAGCAGTAGTTGTAGCAGCAGCATCAGCAGGAGCAGCAGTAGTAGCAGGAGCAGCAGTAGTTGTAGCATCAGCAGCAGCAGCAGGAGCAGCAGTAGTAGCAGGAGCAGCAGTAGTTGTAGCATCAGCAGCAGCAGCAGGAGCAGCAGTAGTAGCAGGAGCAGCAGTAGTTGTAGCAGCAGCAGCAGCAGGAGCAGCAGTAGTAGTAGGAGCAGCAGTAGTTGTAGCAGCAGCAGCAGCAGCAGGAGCAGCAGTAGTAGCAGGAGCAGCAGTAGTTGTAGCAGCAGCAGCGGCAGCGGCAGCAGCAGCAGTAGCAGCAGTAGTTGTAGCAGCAGGAGCAGCAGCAGCAGGAGCAGCAGCAGCGTCTTTCGGCTCGGCCATCGAACGCAGGCGGCGGGCGGTCACCGCATCATAATCGCGCGGCGCTTTCAGACGCGCTGCTTCCGCGGCCGTCTGGAACGCTCTTCCCTTCCGTTACTAGGAAGCCACTGAGAGCCGTGCACTTTTAAATCATCATCATCATCATCGAGCTTGACAAACTCATTTGTTTACAACTGCTCTCCGTGTTTAGCTCGCTGTCCTCCCTTCGCACCTCCGGTCAGCACGGTTGGCTACGTGCGGCCCGAAAGAAGTTCAACGTACACACAGTATTGAATGTGGTTTTTTTTTCATTCCTCCATTAAACCAATGCGGTCCTTCTTATTTAACAAAGAGCAGGGGAGGGGCGGTCGTGATATTTGTGTGAATGTTTCGTGGCTGACGTCAACGGAGCTTTGAACCGCGTGACCCTAAACCTCGGCTCCACCGCCCGCACGCCCATGGATTGGAATTTTAGAGAAAGAGCCCGAACACAAAAGCAAAGAAAAACAAGTTTCTTGACACGGAACTCGGTGCACGGCAGGACGCGGGTTAAATAGATAAAGCTATGCACTGGTCCCCACACACAGAAGGGCCTGTGGAAGTGGATATCACAGAGCTACATCTGAGGTCGATTCTTCTTATTCTTCTTCTTCTTCTTCAAGTGACACACTGGTCCACACACACAGAAGGGCCCGTGGAAGTGCATATGACAGAGCTAACCTCTGAGATGGCTTCTTATTATTCTTCTTCAAGTGACACACTGGGCCACACACACAGAAGGGCCCGTGGAAGTGGATATCACAGAGCTACCTCTGAGATCGCTTCTTCTTTTTCAAGTGGATCTCTAAGTCTCTGACGGGACTCGATATAAGTCAATGGTGGCTGGGCTGAGACCATCAACTTACTACACTTGACAAGCCGGTTAAATCATAACTGAGTCCATGTGAGCCTATGAGTCTCTGTGTGAGTATATGGGTATCTTTGTGAGTCTATGGGTCTTAATGTTAGTCTATGAATCTCTATATGAGTGTATGCGTCTCTACGTGGGTCTCTATGTGTGTATATGGGTCTCTATGTGTGTATATGGGTCTCCATGTGAATCTATGGGTCTTTATGTGAGTCTACGGGTCTCTATGTGAGTCTATGAGTCTCTATGTGAGTCTATGGGTCTCTATGTGAGTCTATGGGTCTTTATGTTAGTCTATGGCTCTCTACGTGAGTTTATGTGCCTTTATCCGTGTATACGGGTCTCTATGTTAGTCTACGGGTCTCTATGTGTGTATACGGGTCTCTATGTGAGTCTACGGGTCTCTATGTGAGTCTATGAGTCTCTATGTGAGTCTATGGGTCTCTATGTGAGTCTATGGGTTTCTGTGTGAGTCTATGAGTCTTTATGTAAGTCTATGAGTCTCTATGTGAGTCTATGGGTATCTATGTGAGTCTATGTGCCTTTATGTGTGTATACGGGTTTCTATGTGAGTCTATGGGTCTCTATGTGAGTCTATGAGTCTCGATGTAGTCTATGGGTCTCTACGTGAGTCTATGGATCTCTGTGTGAGTCTATGAGTCTCCATGTGAGTCTATGGGTCTCTATGTGAGTCTATGGGTCTCTATGTGAGTCTATGCGCCTTTATGTGTGTATACGGGTCTCTATGTGAGTCTACGGGTCTTTATGTGTGTATATGGGTCTCTATGTGAGTCTATGGGTCTTTATGTGAGTCTATGGGTCTCTATGTGAGTCTATGGGTCTCTATGTGAGTCTACGGGTCTCTATGTGAGTCTATGAGTCTCTATGTGAGTCTATGGGTCTCTATGTGAGTCTATGGGTCTTTATGTTAGTCTATGGGTCTCTACGTGAGTTTATGTGCCTTTATCCGTGTATACGGGTCTCTATTTTAGTCTACGAGTCTCTATGTGTGTATATGGGCCTCTATGTGAGTCTATGGGTCTCTGTGTGAGTCTATGAGTCTCTATGTGAGTCTATGGGTCTCTATGTGAGTCTATGGGTCTCTATGTGAGTCTATGGGTCTCTATGTGAGTCTATGGGTCTCTATGTGAGTCTACGGGTCTTTATGTGGGTCTACGGGTCTCTATGCGAGTCTCTAGGTTGCTCTGCCAAGTCACGGGTGACTGCACTGAGACCACCAACTCACCGCACGAGAGAACCCCGCCGGGGTTCAATCCCTGGCGGCTGAGACCTGGACTTGAACCCAGATCCTCAGCGGCGGGGGCTCGTGCGACCACGCCGTATTTGTCCGTGCGTTTCCCTTTATTAAAGACGGCTTCGATTAGATAAGGCACTAAGGATATTAAATGCAAGCCCGCTGATTGAGGACATCTGCCAACGCCGAGTCGTGATTCGCCCACGTTGTTTGCACAGCCAATCAATGACCAGCAGCCCCCCCCCCATCCCCATGCCCCCCCCCCGTCCCCCCAACCCACCCCCCAATGAATAGAATAAAAATTCCCGGGACCCATTTAGCCCTTCTTGTGCAAACAAAGAGCTGAGGTTGTGAAGGTCGAAAAGGTAGATGAGTGGGTGGGGAGTGGGTTAGTGAGTCGGTGAGGAGTGGCTGAGTAGGTGAGTGGGAGAGTGGTTGAGTGAGTCGGTGAGGAGTGGGAAGTGGGTGAGAAGGTGAGTGGGTGGGAGAGTGTTTGAGTGAGTCGGTGAGGAGTGGGTGAGTAGGTGAGTGGGAGAGTGGTTGAGTGAGTCGGTGAGGAGTGGGAAGTGGGTGAGAAGGTGAGTGGGTGGGAGTGTGTTTGAGTGAGTCGGTGAGGGGTGGGTGAGTAGGTGAGTGGGAGAGTGTTTGAGTGAGTCGGTGAGGGGTGGGTGTGAGTAGGTGAGTGGGTGGGAGAGTGTTTGAGTGAGTCGGTGAGGGGTGGGTGAGTAGGTGAGTGGATGGGAGGGTGTTTGCGTGAGTCAGTGAGGGGTGTGTGAGTAGGTGAGTGGATGGGAGAGTGTTTGAGTGAGTCGGTGAGGGGTGGGTGTGTAAGTAAGTGGGTGGGAGAGTGTTTGAGTGAGTCGGTGAGGGGTGTGTGAGTAGGTGAGTGGGTGGGAGAGTGTTTGAGTGAGTCGGTGAGGGGTGGGTGAGTAGGTGAGTGGGTGGGAGAGTGTTTGAGTGAGTCGGTGAGGGGTGGGTGAGTAGGTGAGTGGATGGGAGAGTGTTTGAGTGAGTCGGTGAGGGGTGTGTGAGTAGGTGAGTGGATGGGAGGGTGTTTGAGTGAGTCGGTGAGGGGTGGGTGTGAGTAGGTGAGTGAGTGGGAGAGTGTTTGAGTGAGTCGGTGAGGGTTAAGTGAGTATGTGAGTGGGTGGGAGAGTGTTTGAGTGAGTCCGTGAGGGGTTGATGATTAGGTGAGTGGGTGGGAGAGTGTTTGAGTGAGTCGGTGAGGGGTGGGTGTGAGTAGGTGAGTCGGTGAGTACTCGGGTGGGTAGATGAGTGAGTGGCAGAGTGAGCAGGTGAGTGAGTCGGGTGAGTGAGTCGGGCGAGTAGGTGGCTGAGTGGGTTAGTGTCTGAATGAGTGGCTGTGTGAGTGGCCGAATCGGTGAGTGATTGGCTGAATAAACGGCTGATTGAGTGGACGAGTGGGTGGGTGACTGAGTGGCTGAGCGAGTGACTTTCTTCAGACCCGCAATTCACCAACTCTCAGTAGAACGCAACCTGAACGGCGACACCACTGGCAACCGAGTCGCTCCTCGCCGCTTGTGCCAGGCCAGGTGTACTTCAAGGTCGTCACGTGAAGTGTCAAACGCCCGCTGCCAGGAGGTCACGGGACAGACCCAGCAGGTGCCGTGGGGTCGAACGGCTGCGACGACTGGCAGATGCACCACCTGTGCCCCCTACTGTGGCAACTCGCTGCGTTTTAACCACCCCGGCGCTCGGCCCGTGATTGTTGTGAGCGTCGCTCCTCTGCCCTTCGGTGATTGCTGGAGGAGGGACTACATCCGACTGCCCAGTAGCGTCCCTCACGAGCCTTCTCCACAGAGGCCAGTCTTAACACTGCTGGTACCAGTCATCGGCAAGTCTACTCAGCTCCACATCCGCACGTATCCATCCACCCACCTACACACTCATCCAGCCACCCACGCACTCATCCAACAACCCACACACTCATCCACCCACTCGCACACTCATCTACCCACTCACTCACACACTTATCCACCCACTCATCCACCCGCCCACACACTCATTCACCCACTCGAACACTCATCCACCCACTCACCCACACACTTATCCACCCACCCACTCATCCACCCGCCCACACACTCATTCACCCACTCGAACACTCATCCACCCACTCACTCACACACTTATCCACCCACCCACCCACACACTCATCCACCCGCCCACACACTAATCCACCCACCCGCACACTCTTCCACCCACCAACCCACACACTCATCCACCCACTCGAACACTCATCCACCCACTCACTCACACACGTATCCACCCACCCGCACACTCTTCCACCCACCAACCCACACACTCATCCACCAACCCACACACTCATCCACCGCCCCACACACTCGTCCATCCCCCCACACACTCATCCACCCTCACCCCCCCCCCCCCCCCACACACTCAAATCACCCACCAACTTATCCCTTAGCCAACAGCTACTGGAGGAGGACTGCCCTCCACCTGCCCACGAGATCCTCAGCACGCAATGGTGGCACCAGGGTAGGGGGCTGCCGTGTCACGTGGAGTTGGTCATAGCCGTGTCACGTGGAGTTGGTCAAAGCTGTGTCACGTGCAGTTGGTCAAAGCCGTGTCACGTGGAGTTGGTCATAGCCGTGTCACGTGGAGTTGGTCAAAGCCGTGTCACGTGGAGTTGGTCAAAGCCGTGCCACGTGGAGTTGGTCAAGCCGTGTCACGTGCAGGTGGTCAAAGCCGTGTCACGTGGAGTTGGTCAAAGCCGTGTCACGTGGAGTTGGTCATTGCCGTGTCACGTGGAGTTGGTCAAAGCCGTGTCACGTGCAGGTGGTTAAAGCCGTGTCACGTGGAGTTGGTCAAAGCCGTGTCACGTGCAGTTGGTCAAAGCCGTGTCACGTGGAGTTGGTCATTGCCGTGTCACGTGGAGTTGGTCAAAGCCGTGTCACGTGCAGTTGGTCAAAGCCGTGTCACGTGGAGTTGGTCAAAGCCGTGTCACGTGGAGTTGGTCAAAGCCGTGCCACGTGGAGTTGGTCAAGCCGTGTCACGTGCAGGTGGTCAAAGCCGTGTCACGTGGAGTTGGTCAAAGCCGTGTCACGTGGAGTTGGTCAAAGCCGTGTCACGTGGAGTTGGTCATTGCCGTGTCACGTGGAGTTGGTCAAAGCCGTGTCACGTGGAGTTGGTCAAAGCCGTGTCACGTGCAGTTGGTCAAAGCCGTGTCACGTGGAGTTGGTCATTGCCGTGTCACGTGGAGTTGGTCAAAGCCGTGTCACGTGCAGGTGGTCAAAGCCGTGTCACGTGGAGTTGGTCAAAGCCGTGTCACGTGGAGTTGGTCAAAGCCGTGTCACGTGGAGTTGGTCAAAGCCATGTCACGTGCAGTTGGTCAAAGCCGTGTCACGTGCAGGTGGTCAAAGCCGTGTCACGTGGAGTTGGTCAAAGCCGTGTCACGTGGAGTTGGTCAAAGCTGTGTCACGTGGAGTTGGTCAAAGCCATGTCACGTGGAGTTGGTCAAAGCCTCGTCACGTGGAGTTGGTCAAAGCCGTGTCACGTGGAGTTGGTCAAAGCCTCGTCACGTGGAGTTGGTCAAAGCCGTGTCACGTGGAGTTGGTCAAAGCCGTGTCACGTGCAGGTGGTCAAAGCCGTGTCACGTGGAGTTGGTCAAAGCCGTGTCACGTGCAGTTGGTCACAGCTGCGAGTGGTGGAGCAGTTGCGAGTCGCTCACTCTGGATGAGGATGTCTTGCGTGCTCGTGCCATTGGCGAGCGTCGAGGCCAACGTGGTGGCATTCAGGGACATGGTGAGCGGTGCCACGAGCTGGGGGAGACAAAGACGGCAGCGGGAGACATGCCTTACCCGGCTGTCGATTCGGTCATCATCGTCATTGTCGTCGTCATCGTCGTCGTCATCATCGTCGTCATCATCATGATCATCATCGTTGTGGTCATCATCCTCGTCGTCGTCATCGTCGTCGTCGTCATCATCGTCATCGTCGTCATCATCATCATCATCGTCGTCGCCATCCATGATCAACGTTGCGGGTTGGAAATCGAGCAGAACAAACCGTTAACAGAGTCAGCATTGACACAGCGCCCGCCGCTTAGAGGGGTTCAAGCAGCGTGCAGAGCAAACGCCTACTCATCAGCGAGTTCACTCCCACCTCCACCAGCACGCTGCCTGGCTTCCACAACACACAGCTCATCAGCGAGTTCACAGCCACCACCACAATGCCTCCTCGCTTCCACAACACACAGCTCATCAGCGAGTCTGCTACTGCTACAACCACCACCACCACACAGCCCAGCTTCCATAAAACACAGCTTTTCAGGGAGTCCACCACCACTACCACCACGCTACCCCGGCTTCAACAACGCACAGCTCATCAGCGAGCCCACCTCAGTTCATCTGCGAGGCTCACGACTATGAATTCTGCATTCTCATCGTTCGAGACGGAACTCGGATGCTCTTAGAACAGCAACAGCAGCAGCAGCAGCAGTCAACGTTGCTGTTGCTTATCTGCAAAACCGGCAGTCAAAACTTTGAATAGAAACGCCACTCAGCCGTTGGGCGTTCTACACAAAGCATCAGCAGTATGCACTCGCTGGGGTCCTCTCGTCTAAGACGACCAATTCGAGTCAGTGTGTCATCGACCGACTGATAACAGCAGCAGCATTGGGACAGAGATAACTATAGGACCGGTTTCGTCATTGTTAGGACTCATCAGCAGCATCAGCAGTGAGATAGAGACAGCTGAGGGACTGGTTTCGCAGGTGTCAGCACTCATCAGCAGCAACAGCAGTGGGACAGAGACAACGGTGGCCGGCGTCCGTTATTGTCAGGACTCATCAGCAGCAGCAACAGCAGCGGCAGTGAGACAGACAACTGAGGGACTGGTTTCGTTATTGATAGGACTCATCAGCAGCAACGGAAATGTTGATTGTTCCCCAAAATCACGAAACGCTTGCTACCGCTGCTGCTACTGCAGCTGGAGCAATGCATTGGCCGGTTGTTCATTACGTGGCAGATGTATTAATCGGCTCTGTTGGGTCGAGAACGGTTGACAACACATCATTGTTTTTTACTGACCCAGAAATCAATTGTGGATCTCACATGGGTCTCTGTAAACGTCTTTGGGTCTCTGTACGAGTCTATGGGTCTCTGTGTGAGTCTATCGGTCTCTGTGTGAGTCTATGGGTCGCTGTGTGAGTCTACGGGTCTCTGTGTGAGTCTGTGGGCCTCTGTGTGAGTCTTTGGGTCTCTGTGTGAGTCTGTGGGTCACTATGAGTCTATGTGTCTTTGTGTGAGTCTATCGGTCTCTGTGTGAGTCTATGGGTCTCTGTGTGAGTCTATGGGTCTCTATGTAAGTCTATGGGTCTCTGTACGAGTATATGGGTTTCTGTGTGAGTTTATCGGTCTCTGTGTGAGTCTATGGGTCTCTGTGTGGGTATGTGGGTCTTTGTGTGAGTCTAGGGGTCTCTGTGTGAGTCTATGGGTCTTTGTGTGAGTCTATGGGTCTCTGTAAGTCTATGGGTCTCTGTAAGTCTATGGGTCTCTGTGTGAGTTTATGGGTCTCTGTGCGAGGCAATTGGTCTCTATGTAAGTCTATGGGTCTCTGTGTGAGGCAATGGGTCTCTGTTTGAGTCCATGGGTCTCTGTGTGAGTCTATGGGTCTCTATGTAAGTCTATGGGTCTCTGGGTGAGTCTATGGGTCTCTGTGTGAGGTTATGGGTCTCTGTGTGAGTCTATGCGTCTCTGTGTGAGGTTATGGGTCTCTGTGTGAGGCAATGGGTCTCTGTGTGAGTCTATGGGTCTTTGTGCGAATCTATGGGCTTCTGTGTGAGTCAATGGGTCTGTGTGTGAGTCTATGGATCTGTGTGAGCCTATGGTTCTCTGAGTGAGTCTATGGATCTCTGTGTGAGTCTATGCATCTCACCATGAGGTAGGGAGGCGATGCTACTGCTTGCGTGTGATCTTAATGGAGTGATTTTACAATCAATTTTTGGTATTGGAGTTTATTGATTTATCTATGGGATAAACCCACATAATTCTTATGAAACTATAAGAATAGGTTGTACCCTTTCTGGAAATAAAACAGGTGCATTAAGATGTTAAAACACCAAACACAAACATTTTGCAAGAAATCCTGTCTGCACTAGCCACATATACTTGTGGTGAACATGCAGACAAAAACAATCCATGCCCTGGTAGTATATGATGACGCTTTGTCCTTGAAACCGATTGGTCCACACCAGAGACGGCTTTCTTTAGAGCCTCGTCTCACTAACAGCGCGAGACCAGAGGACGACGCCACAAGGCGACCAGCACAAAGACAATGCCACTATCAGGACACTGAGAACTCGGGGTCCAGCAGCCACATCACGTGACCTCCCCCTTGCCAGTGTCAAAATACAAGAACGGGCTTTACCCTTTCTGGCAAAAAAGCAGCTGGCTTTGAGTATGTTCAAACACCAATTAATCAAGTTTGCCTTAACCGCACTCGGTACTCGTGGGGAAAATGCAAACAGACACGCTCTGATAATGATGTAAGCATTGTCTGCATGTTCTCCCTCGTTCTGCATCATCATGAAACCCTAGAAGGATGATGATGATGATGATGAAGAAGACGACAGCAATTATGATGATGATGACGACTGAGATCGTGATGATTACTGGGATGAAGATGATGATTGGGATCATGATGATTAGCACGGTTGGCTACATACGGTGCCAAAGAAGTTCAACGTACATACACAATGGGACGGTGATTATTTTTTTAACAGATCACGATGACTGGAATAATGATGATGATCATAATCATAAGAATAATAGATTGATGCCAAAGATTAAGGAATTTGAATCATGATAATCCCGATGACAATCGATGGCTGACCGCGATTTGAACCGGCTTATTTCCGTGACCCTTGGATGATTGGCTGAGCTCTATTAAAGCCTTGCGTGAACCTGCTGCTTTTACTAAGAACCCAGACTCTATTGCTAAGCCCCATCGGGCCAAGTCACCCCGCCCCTCACACCACCCCCCCCCTCCTCTCTCCCGTACCACCCCCTCGACCGTGATGAAAATTAATAAAAATGAAATGAAATAAAAAAAACTACGACGTTTCGATCACAACACAAGCGATCGTCATCAGGAGGAACAAAAAGGGGTTATTTTTTCTTAAGTGGAAACCCTCCCCGTAGAGGCGGCTAAATCTGATTAATTTGAACCTATCCACGTGACTTTACCGACATACCCAAAGAATATGAATGCCTGCTGTATATTTGGAGTTTGCGTGTCTCTCTCTCTCTCTCTCCCCGTGGTGAGATGTTAACTACCTCGCCAGGTATACAGGAGGCCGTGGGTTAAATCCCGACACCGACGCCTGCTGTATATTTGGAGTTTGCGTGTCTCTCTCTCTCTCTCCCCGTGGTGAGATGTTAACTACCTCGCCAGGTATACAGGAGGCCGTGGGTTAGATCCCGACACCGACGCCTGCTGCTGCTGTATATTTGTAGTTTGCGTGTCTTTCTCTCGCCCCGACATAATTTTGGACAGCTCAAGTCGCTTCTGAGAAAGATCTATATTGCTCAGTGGGCCTTACCTGGTACACACTAATAAAAGCTTCGTTGAGATTAGCCCACACACAGTCGACTCCCACCCACACGGAAGGGAGGGGGGAGTTTCACAACAACATATCTGCGTGATCCACCAACCCCCGCAGCTGTACCCTCCCCACCCCCCCGTGCTGCAGATGATTTACGGGCTGTCCCGTGTTTAATTTATGAGCGGCACTGAAACGAGATTAGGCGCCTCGAGATAGTCGTGTCGATCACCATGCCACCGGTGAACTCGCTTTGATTGTGCAATTCACGGATTCGGGTTGATTCACCACCCGGCTATTTGGCTCCGCGGGGAGGGCGTTTGGCTCGCGATACGAAGGGCGTGAGTTCAAATCCGGGTCGCGGGTCGACTTAGTCCGTGATCACCACCACCACCACCACCCCTACAACCACCAACAGCCGACGGTGGCGTCACCACGGTGCCTGTGCCAGGCCAGGTGCACTTTGAGGCCACGTGAAGTATCGAAGGCCTCGCTGACGGCAGGAGGTCACGGGAAAGACCCAGCAGGTGCCATGGGTTGGCTGACTGAGATGACTACTGGTAGATGCACCACCTGTGCGCCCTACTGTGCCAACTCGCTGTATTTTATGCCGCCCGGCGCCCCGGTCGTTATTGTGAGCGTTGCTCCTCTGCCCCCCGTTGTTGTTGGAGGGCGACTGCCTCCAACTGCCCAGTAGCAGCAGCGTCCTTCGCGAGCCTCCTCCACAGAGGCCGATCTTGACACCGCTGGTACCAGTCATCGGCAAGTCCACTCAGCTCCACATCCTCCCGTACCGCATCAGCCCATCTCTTCTCCACCCCCATGTCGTGTCTGTTTAGCCCCTCTATGCGGCCAAACAGATGCTACTTGGGCATGCGGTTGCTGGGCACGCGGGCTACATGACCCAGCCAACGCAGCCTTGCTTTGCCAGAAGAGCTCACTGATGGGAATGTGTCCAACCACAACCACCACGATCATCATCATCGATCCAGGGCCGATAAAATGAGCACCGCCACTTTGGTGATACGTCATCAGCACTTTCGTAAGTTGGTCCCTTGCCATAGCACCGTCGAATGTCCTCCACGAGCTCAGGGTTCAAAATAATAATAAAACGAGTGCCGCTTTGTGCGACGTCTAGAGCAGCCGTTCTATGGATCGACTGTCCCCCTGCCATGGCAATGTGGAATCTCCACCACCGGCTGAAGGCCGGGCACAGAGAAGAGTGGAACTGAAGAAGCTCACGGCACTTGGCGCCTAACGTCGGATGCGCGTGGGCAATTATAAATAGGGCACACCATAGCCCGTCGATCGGCAGGTCGCAAAGCGTTGGCACGTGCAACCTGGCACATTCACATCGCATGCCGGTTCGGGGTGGGGAGGGTGGGGTCTGAATCATCGCGATCGTCTACGGCCATGACCAATCCACTGCTGGATGACGGCCTCCCCAGAGCCGTCACCATGCGTCAAAAGCTTCCCGGCGCGTGGCGCGAACATTCGGACGCGTGGAGAGGCTGGAGTCTCAATGCGACGTGCCAGGGAGGGTCCTGCATTGGAGACGTTTTGCCCATTTCGCCGAATGTTTGGCCCTGTGCTCCATTGCGTGACGGGTGATGTAGAGAGTGGCCCCAAGCGTCAGGGCAACATCGGGTTCGTATCTTTCTTAACAGACCGCAAAAGAGTGATTTCCATTTGTAAGTCGCAGACGTTCAAACCGGCTTCCATCGTTGAACTTTCTTTCGCACCGTACGTCGCAAACCCGCGCTTATTGGATGTGCAGGGGGGGGGGGGGGGGTGGGGGGGGGGAGGGCAATAGGACTAAAGGAAAG